CTCCTCAACATGTCTTGAACTTCTCCAGATGCCTGCTAATGAACTAACCGTTTGATTCAGGTGTGTTGACCCAGGGTGAGATCTAAAACCTGCAGGACACCGGCCCTCGAGGCCTGGAGTTCGACACCCCTGTCCTAAAAAGTACCTTCACATTAACAAATGTATCCCATCCCAACTAATACTACAAACAATGAAAATAATATTAGGGTCTACATTTTGTTTCGATCTGCCTATATAAAGAAACACAACAGAAAGTTGGTTAGACACCCAGAAATCCAGATGAGAACAGAGGTGTGACTATCTACAGGAAGCCAGCCAAATGCTGCTCTTACATGTGATCTGGTTTGTTGACACCACATGATGCTGGCACCTTTGGCTGTCTTTAAAGTGATTACTTTTAATGTTTGGAGTCAATAGACCACCATTGTGTGCAGAAACCAACTTTTTGGGTACTCGTGACACTTCAGTCCAAATCTATGGAACAAAACAGCTCACAGAAGATGTTTTCAAATCTAACGTCAAAACCTCCTTGATTGATTGAGGCATGTTAATTCTTAATAATCAACCCAAAACAATGTAAACCCAGTTCCATCTGCCCTACATCCTCCATATCCACTGTTTTGAAAACATGTGGATCAAAGATGTTATGCAGAGCCATATGGAGTTTAGGGATTTTGAGCTTATCCAAAATTATGGGAAGATCTCGCTAAGCCTGGGCTTTCTTATCAGCAACAGAACAGGTGTGGGAAAGATGGGAATGCTTCTCATCTTCTAAGCAAACAGGCATATAGACTTAATGTTTTGTCCCAGTAGGATGGAAGGACACTCAAAGAAATGTAACCCTCAGAATCCAAAATTTAACCTTGGACTATACCTGCTTTTTAAGGATGTGCTATTTTACTACATCCAAATTTAATGTTAAGTTTAAGCAAATTGGGCCAAAAAGGTCATTCTACCTGTTGTGTTCTGTGAGTTTTTGCTCCCTTGATGCACTTTACACCTCTTACTTCATATTTTAAAAGTACTACATCTAACTCGTGTTTAAACACTGGATCTCCGGGCCAATCTTTGACATAACGTGTGACATACACCAATGCAAATCAGAGTAGCAGGGAACCACCACTGCTAAGGAAGTCTCACCTTATAGCCTAAAAGGCACAGACTTCATTTTAACAGCTAGGTGATATAAAGAGGTCCAGCTAAACTTATACATGTTCATTATGGAAGTAAGTCTGCTAAGAGAAGCTCATCATTTGGCACTAACAGTCAGTAGAGTTACTCGAGTGTCACCTGCTATAGTTGTTCTTACCTGGCCATAGTCAGTGGCAAAGACAACAACACCTCCGGAGCAAGAGGACACGGTGCTGGGAAGGAACTGCTCATCCTCCCGTAACCACACCCGGTCGCCCTGCAGAGGAAGAAGAAAAGTTAGCTGAAGACTCTGAATCAAAATATGACATTTATACATTTGTCTCTAAACAATTAATCAGTGATTTTCTGTCATCAATGATATTGCATGAATGGGACCATTATATACAACCTACTACATTTCTTTTTTTAAACTGATAATTTACAAAGCAAAGGGCATCTTAATTTGTTGTTGACCCTCAACAGATCCTAACCACACCTATGCTATTACTGCATAACAGAATCATCTAAATAACTGAATTAAAACCCAAGAAACTGCTTCATGTAACCTAAAAACATTAGAACTCTCTCCTTTTAAATTATTTCACTTTTCGGTTTCAGATCAATCCAATCTTGTGACTCTACACAACAATGCTAACTGAGTAATGGGATCCACTTCTGCGTCTGGTGTTTTTTGTACAGCACTCTAGAAATCTCAGGGAGACAGAGAAACGTAACTTTATGACAGTATTTAAATAGACTATTTCAGAGGTCGTGCTGTTGGTATATTTTGTCCTTTGCTAAAGACACAGGCTTTCATGTTACCACGGCATGACCTTTCTCTGACCAAAAGCAGAGTCTCTGCTTTCATGAAAACACGGTAAGCTGTGCAGTGTTTAGTTTCAGAGGTCTCCACCTGCCGTCACCCAGGAGGCCAGTAAAGCTGCATGTTTATTGATGCTTTTTAGCGAGGAGTTCCTGAGAGGACTTTAAGACCTGCTGACCAGTCAAGTTTACTGCCACTGGTTTCTACAGCGTTTCTCCTTAGGGTTAACAGCTGGATATGAAATGACTAGAATTCCCCTATTCTTTTGTGTTTGTGGAGGATTAGCAGGGAATCTGTGGAATTTACAAGAGGAGGTCTGATTCTTAACTGCATGTTTAGACGGTTGAAACTTTGTTTGAATCGTTCTTTTGGCTTTGGAAACCTTTAAAAATAATAGCTTCACATCAAGAAAAGCTTTAGTTCAGACAGTGCAGATCATTGATGGATTCGTTTGTTTGATAGGACAGTTTCAGACTAGAAACCGGCCTCCCTGAAATACGACTGAGCTACAGAATCGAGGGGCCCTTCGAGTGGATTCCCTCCTAATCGCATAGCCACATGTGCTGTTGTTCATTAGCGTGACAGGCTAATGCTAATGGCAAAAACAAGCTCTGCAATTCACTGAGAGGCCCCTCCTCTCTCCGAGCTAGACATACATGTGACCTTTGACCCATGGGCCCTCAGACAGAGCTGCCCTGGTGCCGCAGAGAGGGGCACCTGGGTGGGAAAATGTTAGCAGATGAATGAATGACTGTGGAGTAAAACGTGCACACACAGAGTAAAGCTCAGCGTTGCAGTGTCAGCAGCAGATCAGAGGGGTGCTGCGTGTTGTTCTAAACCCCTGACCGCTCCTCTGTGCGGAGGGAAGCGGCACAGTTCAAACGGTCCTGGGATCTCCTGGTGAGATATAAATGTGGCAGTCAGAGGGACTCGAAAAGGAATTTCTCTTCTGATCCCAATTTGGTCATAAGAAGTCTTACAAAGAAACTGCTCATCATTCTTTACTTTGTTTGGCAAATTCTGAATGAAACCGTTGTTATATGAAGTCCTCAATTTCGTCTTTGTTTTAGTTGCTAGTTTTTGCATTCCTTGCTTCTTTTGTTTTGTCTGCCGTATTATTCAGACCTGCTTAAGTGACCGAACAAAAAGATAAGAGGGAGAAGAGGAAGGTCCCAAGAGTTTAAACCTTAAGTGTTTAAGATGCTTTTCTGCTTTTGCTGACCACCTGAATATTCTCCTCCTGTTTAACCGTCTGAATGAACTTTTCCTCTCACGGTTGTGTTGAAAGAAGTCCTCTCCACATGAAGATAAAACTCCATTTTGATATCTTCATCAGAAGATCGTTTACAGGCCTCAGAATATCCCAGCTTACATGAGGACCAAGAGTTTACCGTTGTTCTGGCTCATTTTACTCACATTATATTTAACCAGGCCTGTTACCAATGATCATGATGTATAAATCAGCCTCTCTCCCATCGCACCATGTATCTATATCCCCTTTCTGTTTTTTAAAATTATCATTTACCGGGTTGGGTTCGTGTTATGAATGAACACATTTTAACCCCAAACCATGACCCTCACGATTCCTGAACCTAAGTGAAAGCGAAATTAAGCGAGTGAAACAAAGGCAAAACACAAATGAGAGCTCTAAACAGAGGCTGGGCAGACAGCGGCGTCGGATTCTTTGGTGCTCCAGAAAAGAACCGAACAAAGGAAGGTGCTCCATTGTAACACGCACAAAGAGAAGGAGTGTGCTGTTTACCAGCCCGGGACATATGGACATTCCTGGTGTGCACCAGCACGGGAATCTGATGCTCGCACCAAGTTTGGATGTAGAAAGCAAAAGGAGGGTCTCCTTCCACCCACTGGCACACTTTTCAAGGCTCTTTTACCTCCAAAGACACCCCCAAATACACACATACATTCATTTTGTTTGTCCATCCTCTCTCTGCTGAGAGAAGAAAAAGAGGCATCCAGCACACATCTTATTATCCTTCCTCTCCCACCCCTCTTAATCTTCTCTGTATCTCCTCCTCCCTGAACTCTATCCCTACATGAACACACACACACACACACACACACACACACACACACACACACACACACAGGTACTACCCTCTTTCTAAACAAGGGATCTGGGCCAAAAGACTCCGCTTCACCTCCTCTCCGTCATTCATCACCATTGATTGCCTGAACTTTGAACATCAAAGATCTCATTGGTACTTTCCAAAGGACCTAAAGTTGCATCTGTTAATGGATGAAAACCACACAGAGTTAAAGGCTAATAAAGCTAGCAAATCACTCAAGAAGCACGTACCACGCTGCACAAAGCTTCAGTAACTGATATAAGGTGGGCTGGTTAAAGGGGAAATGGTCAAGAAGGTAATGTTTTTAAAACAGCAATACCACAAAAGTTAGGTGTATAATGCATATTTTTACTAGATTAGATCAAGTAGGCAGAGCAGAGGTTTCTCAGACGGCTGCACATAATTCCAACGTGCACGGAAGAGAGGAAAACTGTTCAGGCCAAACGTGTAACAGACATTTGGTGATTACATGTAAAGTCTTCCAAACACATGACTCAATGCAAACAAACAAAAAATCACTTCACATGCTGATGTACAAGCCTTCCAGCTGAAATTATTCCACACCTGTAGAGTCTCCTTATACCGCCAATAATCACAAATAAATCACAAGCTCATCATCGCCAATTAAAGGACATCCAAAGCAGTAAAGCTCAACTTCAATTAGGAGAGAGAACAAAAGAGGAAACGGTTGAAAAAGATGTTACTGTTACTGTAAATGATTCTGCCCATCAGTCATACTTTAGAAACAAATAATTCTTCATTGCTAGGAACAAGTTTAAACACATCATTAACAGGTTAAAACGCCAGCATTATTTACAGTACATAGAACATTACTGCGTTTCATCTTGTGGCGTTCATCAGGGTCACAACTGAAGCCAAACACACTGGTCTAGCAATAAAGGTGGTCTGTATGCAACAAGTGATAAGAGTTCAGAGCTCTTTAAAACGAACTCGTGATTTGATAACAGAGCATCAGTACCTGATAAGAGCACAACATGTGTTCCTGGTCTGTTGCAGACTACATAAAGACATGTAGTGCATCAGTTTCTTCTAATTAACTTTTCTTCAGGATCCAACCAATGGTTCAGATACCACAAAACTCAAATTATAAAGAAAGTTCTGTTGAAGCAGTCAGAGAATTTCAGCTCGTAAAAGCTTTCAAAACCACATCAACACAAAACCACCAGCCAAAATTAGGAAAAGTGAGACACCTGTACAAATCTGCAGTTACACTAATTTTCTATCACCACATTGACATGAAAGGAAGCGGGGCCTCGCCGAGCTAATGTCAACACATGAGCTGGGAAACGCTTGAGAGTCTCGACTGGGACTGGGAGCTGCGGATCAAAGCCCAGCTGTTACACCAGAAAGACCTCTGAGCCCCTCGGTCCAGCAAAACCTGAACAAACTCTCTCACACACTCAGAGGTGTCCGAGTATGACTGGTATGAACAGGCAGGATAATTACAGTGGGAAAGAAGCTGCTGAAGAATTATGTTGGATGCCCCCTTACACCAGAAAAGAGGTACAAGTTATTGGATATAGTGAGAAAGAAATAGCTTTGAGTCATAATTGGTTTTCTGAGGGTAGACACATGTTATAAGAAGTGCTTTGTGCATGGTTTTGGTGTTTTTGCAGGCTGTCTTATCCTATCAGATTAAAAATAATATATATAATAGTGAGATTCAACCTTCTATTTTTAGTCATTTTTGATTCATTAGGTTTAGAGCTTTATCCATCCTCCAACGTATAATATCTTCCGTAAACATGTTGGACGCATGTCTCAGTTATCCAGGGAGATGCTCTTTTCTGGCTGTTATCTCAATCCTGACACCTCCTCCTGGCCAGAGCCAAAACACCAACACAAACCTCCCACCCTGAAAGCTCTGGGAGTAGAATTGAAGCAGTCATCCATCGCCTGCGTGTATTTTCCCTGCGTAACCTCGACATGTGTGGCTAATACTCTCCCAGCAGGGAGCTGGGGAGGGGGGGGGCGAGGATATGTTCGGGGCTGGGAGCGTTCATACGCCATCGGTGTCGGGAATGAGCAGCTGCCTTGTTTGGGAGATTCCACTTCCTCTCCGACAACAAACTGAGTCTTGTGCTCGACCACAGCTACCCCCTCTATCAGCGCCGTCAATGCAAAAGCCTGTGAGGCTTTTTCTTTATCTTTTCGTGAGCATTAAAACTTTGGCTCAACACAACTGCTGGTATGTTCTCTGAAAGATGACCCGCTGCTGCTCCTGCAAACAAACGCCACTATTTTCTTCCATCTTCATTTATTCCTCTGACGTTCAACTGCTGTTAACAAATAGCTAGAATAAATGAAAAGCCTGCCTTTACACGTATGTATCTGCAAACGAGGAAG